TATGTATAAAAAGGGATTTTAATATGACTCACCTGTTGCTCGAACGGGAGTGTATAAAATAAAATAAAAAAGAAAATTTTTTTTTTTCTATTTTATTTTACGAACGTTTTCCTCGTGATCGAACGTTTCGCGTTCTCAGCAACAACTAAAAACGTCCCGGACGTTTCTATCCCGGACTCGACTGACCTTAGATTCCGTTGCGCATCTGAACTCTTGAGATGTGGCGCACACTTTTCCATATGTATATATATATAAATATAATTTCACCGTTCGTTTTTTTTTTTCTTTTTCATCATTCGTAACGTTTTCCGTTCACTTTTGCGTTTGTTGTTGTTGTTGAATCCCTTTATAAAATATAAATAAATATTAATAATATTTTAAAAACATCAATAATAATATTATTTTAATTAAAATTTTTTCTCAAACAACAAACAAAACCAAAATTAACTAAAAAAATTATTATTTGGATTAAACATAATTAAAAATTCTTGTTTGCCTGTTTGTTTGTTTTTATTTATTTAAAATGTTTTTCAACAAAAAAAATTTTCACCAAACACAAAAAATTTTTATACAACAAAAATAGAAAAAAATTCATTTTTATACAGTTAATTATTATTATTATTGTTTTTTTTGTTTGTTTGTTTGTTTGTATATATATGAAAACAATAAAAACATATCAATTGTTTTAAAATTTTCTTTTCTTTTCTTTTTCTGTTCTGTTGTGTGTGTGATGTTTTTTTTAAAACAAAAAATTGTTTTTTAATATGAAAAAATTAAAATTTTTTTTTTTGTTCCCACAGGATGAAGGACTAACTTTTAAAGTTTTATGTTTGTTTTCAACTTTATCTTTTCCCTTTTTCTCTCTCTCTATCTTCCCTTACAAAAAAAAAAAATTAAGTATATACTTTGTTAATTACCTGTTAATGTTAAAACTTATTTTATATTCCAAATGTTTTCTAATAATTTTCCAATAATTAACTTTTTTTTTTTTTTTTTCTAAAGAGTTGAATGAAAATGTGATGTGGTTTTAATATTTAACATTTAAATAC